AACAGAGCTGGGAAAGGTCTGGAGAATTCCTGAGGGAGCTGGAAAGGGGCTCAGCCTGGAGAAGTGGAGGCTCAGGGGACCCTTCTGGCTCTGCACAAGTCCCTGGCAGGAGGGGACAGCCGGGGGGTCGGGCTCTGCTGCCAGGGAACAGGGACAGGAGGAGAGGGAACGGCCTCAGGCTGGGCCAGGGGAGGCTCAGGGTGGACAGCAGCAGGAATTTCCCCATGGAAAGGGAGCTCAGGGATTGGAACTGCCCAGGGAGGTTTGGATCCCCATCCCTGGAGGTGTCCCAGGAAGGGCTGGAGGTGGCACTGACACAGCTGGGGCTCGATGGGCTGGGAGGAATTTTCCAGTTTCTGATCCTGAGATCTGTGAATCCCACCTACTACTGCCTCAGGAATCCTTGTTGCTGTCCCAGGGCAGAGGGCAAAGCCTACATAGCTGCATATGATATTTTCCTCTGCGTAAGAAAAGGCACTTTAGAAGTCAGTTTGGAAAGAAATGGAAGAGCAGAAGGAAAGATCAGTGTTTTCTCTTTGATAGTGTTTCCACTCTTTTGTTCTGTTAAATTAATCCAAACAAAAGCCCCAGTGCTTGCATCCTGTCTGAAGTTACACTTCATGGGAGCTCTTAACCCTTTACTGCTTGAGCAGAGGCTGAGATCTTTACAATGGAGAGCAAATTCAGAGGGTACAGGAAAGCCACAGGCACACGGGAATTGCAGGGTGTTCCTGTGGGCTGGATTGGACACTGACAGGTACAATAGTGCTGTGGGCACAGTGAAGGAAGGGGCAGAGTAAAAGATAATGGAAAGAAAATGGTGTTCAAGAGTGTTCTGATATTATTAATAAAGATTGTTTAGAAATTACAGTGTCATGCCTCTCAAAATCCCAAAGTACTTTCTCATTTTTCCTCAAAGTTTACATGTAACACGTTGTAGATCTGTGATTGATAGCCTGGCTTCTGTGAACAGATGCCTTTTACCATCTCTGTATTTTCTTGACTGCTAATCCTTGTACTTTTCAGAATTCATACTCTGCATTTATCCAGCTGATGCCAGTTTTCATCATCATAATAGTGTCAGTTATAACCCAGCTGATGGCCACCAACCCACCCTACAGCTTATTCTACAAATCGTAAGTCCTTTAAAACCACATTTTGCTGCTGTTGCTGCTTGCTGTATGGAGGCAGATGGAAGTTGGGTTTGATAGAAAAATGCACGTTAATGTTTTGCTCTTTATAGAAAATGTTACCAGTTTGTAAATGAGGAAATAGCAACAGCCTGCACTGGTGAGTTCTGAGCACTGTGAAGTTACCTGTGGGGAGCTTTAGTGCACAGGGTGCTGAACTGAGAGGGTCAGAAACCTTCCTCAACTGGTGTGGAATGGTTTTGTACAGTGATACAGGATGGGGAGTGTGGATGTAGATCAGCCTCTGATCTGACCAACCGCCAGAATCTGTGGACCAACCCCTGAGGTTCCTCTGGAAAGCAGCTAAAAAATGAAACCTGTGGTTTGCAGTATAAATCCAAATCTTTTCTGGAGCATGAATTCCACTGGAAGCTCAACAAATCATTAAAGCCTTGAAATGCCCTGATTGAACCTCTCTAGAGAAGAAGGGCCCTGGGGGCTGGTGGGCTCTGGGAGCAGAAGGACCCCACCAGAGCTGCTGTACTGGGCCAGAGGAAAACCCATGTGCTGCTCTCAGCTTCCTGGGCTAGAGGAGGGAAAGAGCTGAGCTGGGCTGGCCCTTACTGAGAGAGGAGTGGGATTGGCAGGTTTGGAACAACCAGCAGAGTGCTCCAAACTGTCCCCTTGTTCCCTTCTAGGAGGAAAACTGCTCAGGTCCAGCTTTCCCCTCCTCTCCTCTGTCACAGCAGCCCAACACCCTCATTGTTTTACCACACAATGTCAGTGTGAGGCCCTCAGAAAAGATCAGGAGGGTGGATGTTTTTAGGTTTGTTTTTTTTTCAAGAGAGTGTTTTTGCTATCTGCCAGTTCCATGTGAAACCTCCCACGCTGCCCCCACAGCAGCTGAGCTACTTTTCTTCACTACCTCCCCTTCTGCTGGTGATGGGAGATAGGCCTGAGCCTGGTTCAGTTAGGCTGTTCAGCTAAATCATAGCCTTAAAACAGCCTAAAAATTAAAAAAATTGGAAACACCTCTGAGACACAGGGAAGGAGAAGAGGAGTCCAGGAAAAAGGGATAAACAGGACTCCTGTGAGTAGAGTATAACCTTTGTGTTTTGGCTGCCTGCCTCTCTCTGTGGCCTCAAGCAGAGGCCTTGGATACCTTTGCTCAAACAAGGAAATTCACTCCAGGACTGCAGTTTAACCCAGTCACTGTGTCAGAGGGGCTGATTCTTCCTTGGGTATTTGCCAGCCTGTTCCATGCCTCACTCTGCTTACTGATGATTATAAAACCCTGAAGAAAAGTATAACTAGAATCTCCCCTAGATTCCATTAAAGAATCCAAAAAATGGGAAAATCCAGATCCAACTGCATTGTGCCCTAAGTTTTTATAAACTCTGGGATATTTTCCTATGGTTGCAGCAAGAGGGTGGATTCTGTTTGTACTGCAGTTTGCTGTCCCTGAAACTGTAATTTCCTGACTGGATGGTTGAGGGAGCCATAATCCTACAGAAATGAGCTGTAAAAACTGCTGTAAATATTTTCCTCTGGAAATGCTAATATGGAGAAATAACTCTTGATTTCTTAAGGTTTGAACTGCTGAAACATCTGATATCTCCCTGCTGCTCCCACAGGTCCATAGGCCACGTTGTCAGCAGAGAAACAGAGAACTTGCAGGTGCCTTATTATGTTGATAAAAACTTTGAAAAGAACTATCAAGGAGCAGAACTTCAAGAGCTTGAGAAAACAGTTGAGAAAGATTACATAGACTATATTCAGACCAGCTGCTGGAAGGAGAAACAGCAAAGTAAGTTATTTCTGTCCCAAGAGTGTTTCAGGGGCTGGGGGGTGGTTGTGCTTCACAAAGCTCTGCTGTTTTTAGCCTCAGTTTACAATCCTTGTAACATCTCAGTCTTGCACTGGTTTAAGGTGTCTCACATCTGCTCTTAACACTGAATTTGCTATTCTTGAGATCTGTCAAAATCCATTTTAGGTGATTCTGAGATGAGTGGAAAGTAGACTTCACCATTTCAGACACTTTTTCCGCTCAGGTTTTATGCTTGAATAACCCTTAGTGATGTTTTAAACATACAACCCACCACATTTATCTAGCCCTGACAGATTGCTAGGCTGGAAAAGATCTTGAAACATCACCTCTTCCATGTTTCCTTTGCTGGAGCAGAATCAGTTTTGCTTTGACTGGCTCCACAAGAAGTTTCTGTAACTTTTTCCTTATAATTTATCCAGGAGAGTCCAGAGCATGTCCAGGTGCTCTTGGCTCCCTTGCAGTGGGCTGTGTTCCTGGTGTCAGTTTTCAGGGCGTGCTTCCGTGGTTTGGGTGTTATTTGCATTTTCTATCTTTAGCTGAGTTGGAGATCATGTTTTTCACCATTTTCAAGTCTTTCAAAAACAAGAATTGAATGCAGAAAGGGAGAACACAGATGTGAGCGTTCAAAATCATTATTCTCACTCAGCCCAGAGTGGATCAGTGGCACAAATAAAAGGCATGTTAACCCTATATTTTATTGCTTGTTAATTGCTACTAATCTGGTTCATTGAAGAGACAGCAAATTCCTGCTGCTTGCAGAATGGTAAGAAATAAGAAATCAAATCACAAGGAATAACTTAAGCTGGGATGTTGTGACTGGTTTTATTCACTGATTTTATTCACATTAAGAACTCATCACCTTCAAATGAGTCAACAGCGAGTAGTGCTGTGTGTAAAGGAAGCTGGAACAAGTTGTGTCTGTGTGAATGTTCTGCTTTCACACACTGGTGGGGGTTTTAAATTGCTCTGTGCAGAGCAGTCAGCACACTGCTAAAAAGTGCCTCTGCACTTGTTTTCAGTTTCTTTACCAATTTATCTAAAGAAGACTCATTTAAACCTAAAGGAGAAGTAACAATAGTGTTGTGACTCCAGGCTCTTTACAGGTATTTGATGGGAAGGCTTGTTCTGGCTTATTTCACATGAAAGTTACCAATCCTGCTTCTAAAGAGAAATTAAAAGATGTAGGCTCTGAAGTTAAAAAGGGAAAGAACATATATGATAAGACCATAAAAGTCCTTAAGTTTTTGGTGTGTTTGATTTGTGAACTTTTGAGTATTTGTGGCTGGCAGGAGCAGCTTCCAGGGATAATGTGGATGTTCATACTCGTAAATGTAGGCTTGTTAAAGGGGAGATTTTATTTCTTACAGAAAAATTCCTTTGACCTTGTGCAACTGAAAGTTTTCACAGAGAGCTGGAGCAGAGGAGAGCCCAGCCCCAACAAGGGGACAGGGTTTGTGAGTCCGAGAGAGCCCAGGAGTCAGAGAGGGGAGATGATCCAGCCTGGAATGCCAAGTGCCTGCCAAGCTCCTCCAGAGCTTTGTACACTCAGGGGTTGTGTTAGTCAGCAGCTGCAAATACATTTACAACAGCCACAGTTAGCACAGCCTGAGACCACTGCTGTCATTAAAAACTCCCCATTTTCAGAGTGCTTCCCATCCAGGCCATAGCTGAGACTGGGCTGACCTTAGGACAGTCATGTTTGTAAAAATAAACTCTGAATACAGGATGGAGTGCTGGGGAAAAGTTCTGCAGATGCTGAGGCAGTTCTTAGTCAGCTGTTGCTGCACAGTGTTGGTCCTTTAATCCTTGCTGAAGTGTTGGATTTGGTGTGAGGAGTTTTTCATCAGTTGAATGTCTATTTATAGAACATTTGTTGTGTTTACTGAGGGCACGTTTCCCTTGAGCACCAGCAAAACAGACAGGGATGAGTAGTTCAGGAACAGTTTAGGTTTTAAAGTCCTTGATTTTAACACTTGAAAAGCGTTACCTGGTGTCCAATAGCCTTAAGGAAAAGCTTTAAAATAATGGATTGGTTGTACATTGTTCAGCCAGTTTTATAGTGCTGCACCAGACTCCTCAGCAGAGCAGTGTGTCCAAGTTGGGTGTGCTGTGGGTTTGGGTCTCCTGACATCTGTGGCACAGTTAAGTTCAAAAAGCACATCCCAGGTTTTACAGGAGATGGTTCAGCTGGGATGGCTCAGTTGTAAAGTGAGGCTGCAGAGAGCTCAGGGTCACAAAGAGGCAACTGAAAACCGAATCAGGATAACACAGGATCATGGATCATGGAATGGTTTGCGTTGGAAAGGGCCTTAAAGCTCATCCAGTTCCACCCCCTGCCATGGCAGGGACACCTTCCACTGTCCCAGGATGCTCCAAACCCCATCCAGCCTGGCCTTGGACACTTCCAGGGATCCAGGGGCAGCCTCAGCTGCTCTCAGCTGCTCTGGGCACCCTGTGCCAGGGCCTCAGCACCTCCCAGGGAGGAATTTGCTCTGTATATCCAATGTAAATATAGTTGGAATTCAGAACCTCCTTGAAGAAAAGGCTTCAAAGGAACTACTCTGCAAAGATTGAAACCCACAAGGAGCAAATGTGATGGAATGCTGTCAAAAGTGCAGGGAATAATTTTCCCCAATTGAATAAGTGTAAACTGAGATTCTCCACTGCACAACTCCAGGGACTCTGGGCTCAGGGACAATTACCTGAGCCTGGCTTTTGCTGGAGGCTTGACAAGGCTGTGCCCAGCACTGCTTGAGTGGCATTTTGGTTATAAACCTGTAAATGGGTTCTTGCTCTAAAATGAACTGTTCCTGCCTGTCAGTTTGTGAAGTTTTCAGTGAGTGGGAGGAGGGTTAAATAGCTTTAAATTTCAGTGGGACAGGGACAGAGGACGTAAGGCATGAAAGGATCTATTGAAGTTCTTTCCACTCTGAATAATTTTGTAAAATGAGGGGCTTGTAAGGTGTATAAAAGCTCTTTGAAAAATTGAGTGTCATCAGGTAGCCTGTGCTTATGGAGATGTTGACCTTTTCAGAAGTAAATTACTGCTGTTCTCCTCAGTGCATCTAATCCTGCAGCCAAATTACTCTGCAGGGAGAAACCTATATTAAGACTTCCCCAGCTAATCAGCAAAAGAAACTTCTCTGAATTACTAGGAGGAAATAATTTAAACAATGGGATTATTTCTGTTTTATGTGGCTTTTGAGAAGAAGGGGAACAAAATGCAATGTACATTTGAGATTGTTAATGAAAGGGCAGGGAGGCCTTTCAGACGAGTCCCTTGGGTAGCTGTTCACCTCCCTGGCTCAATACCCACCAAAATTAAAATTTACAAGTGCCACAAGGATAACAAAGCACTTAGAAACAGTTCTTTAAAGGAGCTCAGGGCTTCATCCTAATACATCTTTTTTTTTTTTTTCATCTTTCAGAGTCTGATTTGTCAAATTTGGCCAAGCTCTACAGAGATGAGCGGTTAAAACAGAAAGCAGAGTCCCTGAAACTTGAGCACTGTGAGAAGCTCTCCAGTCTGATTGGGATGCACAAAGGGGTTTGACCAGGATGCACACGTCCCATACTTTTATTTATTGCTGTTTTAACTTTTGTTTTTATTTTCCTTCGTGTGAAAAGGGAAGGAGTCTGTTGTAAAGAGTCTGGATATTGGAGTCCCTCTGCAGGCGGTGCAGAGAGGGGGCAGCAGGAGCTGCAGCGCTGCTGTTTGCTGTAATATATTCTGTACATTAGATTTGGTTCCAAGGACCAGTGGCACTTTGTAAATTCATTCCCCAGGACACGCTCTGCGTTTGAACCCCGTCTGCATGGGTGGTGTGTCTGCCATCCAGGCTGTGTGTGCTTCCCAGGAGAGCAGGCTCCTCTCGGCTTCCCGTGTTCCCTACGGACCTGCAGCTCCCTGCATCCCCGGACAGCGCCGTGCAGGCCACCTCCCCCTGTCCCTCCAGGCTGTGCCACAGAGCTGGGCTACTTCCAGTGCACGAGGATGCTGAGCCCCTGAGCACAGCTCTTCTGCTGTCCCAGGGATCGTGTGCTGCTCCAAGGGAGGGCTGTGCCCATCCTGACACCAGCACGGGAGCCTGGGAATTGCACAGATTCCAGTGTCTGCCAGACTGTTGGGAAGGCAGAGCTGTGGTCATTCCCTCGTCTGTTTGCAGTGGCATATCTTAAAGCTGGCTATTCCATTTTGGTTTTGATCTGCTCTTCCAGGGCCCTGCTTTTTCCGGTACAGTTCTCATGTAGCATATTTTTACTCTGTTGAGCAGCTATGAATGTTTCACTGTAGACATGATATTGTAAAGAAAAAAGATCCATGTGGCAATGTCCTGGTTTTTCTTGATCCTCCTTTACACAGCTAGGCCTTGAAGGGTAGGGTGGTGCTGGGTTGTCCTCGTCAGCAGCAGACCAGTGTTAGACCAGTGTTGCTCCAGTTGAGCACCGTGAACTCCCTGAGGCAGTCTGGTGTGTGCCCTGCATGGAATGAGCTGCTCTTCCAGGGAATTCCTGCCCAATGGCTCACATACTGCTCCCCTCTGACCCTGGGAATGGGAGTGAGCCACACCTGAGCAAAGCTCTGCTGTTGCCACATGCCTGAAACTCGAGTCACACAGGATGCACAGGTGGCCTTGGCTGAAACCTGGGCAGCAAATGCTCAAAAGCTTGGGAAACACCAGAGTTAAACCTGCCTTTAAAGCTCAAGCTGTCTATGTGCTGGGCACTGGTGCAGTGGTGTAGGAGTCCCACTGGATGGAGCTGGGAGTGTTGGGATCACAGTGCATCCCCTCCATGTCCCTGTCCCATCCATACAGCCCTGGGAGGTTTGGCAGGAAAGAAAGCTGGAAAAAAAACCCTTTTTTGGGGTCTGCACAAGAGTGAGGGGTTGGTTTGAGGCCTGGTGCTTCTGCACACAAGCCTTAAACATCCCAGCTGGGAGCAGAACATTCCAGGCACAGCAACTGTGCTGTGGTGGGATGTCATAAAAGGGGAAAAAAACCAACATACTGACTCTCTAAATTGCATTTTTATGCCTCATTTGTAGGAAACCTTGTTGGAACATGGGGAAGTTGAGTAGGAATTTTTGGGGCCCAGTGAAAAGGGCATTTTGAGGAGGTTGGTGTGCTGGAGTTTAAGGGCAAGAATGGGTGATGATTCCAGGCTGGTGGCTGGCAGAGCAGGCAGCCTTAATTCTGGTATTTCCCACTTTTGAGCACACGACTGTGTACAAAAAGCGAAAATAATATTGCTTTTTATATATTAAATAGCTTGTAGAATATATTAGAAATCTATTAAAGTGGTTGGACTGTGTTGCAGGGTTGGGATTTTCCCTGTCATTCCTGTGTGACTGTAGAGGGACACGGGTAGGGAGACCAAATCCAGCGGCTTCCTGGACTCACAATGTCCTGCACGGAGCTTGAACTCCTCCATAGCGTTTTGCACTGAAATCAGATTGTATCTTTCATCCAAAGATCTCGAGTACTCGATGGAGACCTCCTGTGGGAAGCACAATCAGCTAGGAAATGCAGGAGGGAGGTGAAAACATCCCCAAAAGCAATAAGTGTTTTGTTCCTATCCAGGGTCAGGGTGCTGGTCCCGCTGTGTGCTGTGAGGGAGGGCGTGTGGCTTGGGAGCCATGCGGTGACAAACGGGACGAGTTGTGTTTGTTCGGTGCTCCACAGGGAAAAGGAGAATCCTCTCCGGAATTCCTGATGTGGAAATGCCTCGCTGTCCTCCAAAAGGTACTTGGGATTCTCCCTTGTGGGGCTCTGACGGAGGAGAGGGTGTTCAGGGTGCACCAAGCGCTTAAACATGAGTTTGTGTGTGTGTATATATAGTTATTTATTTTTAAATTAAAGACGTGACATCGCTGTGCCTGTCCGTGGTGGTCTGAGCCTGGCGCCGGGAGGGTTGCGGGAGATGGGTCTGGGAGGAGGAGGAGGCCGTCATTTGCCGCGGGGTGTGGGACATGGCCGAGGCCTTGGGATCGGGATCGGGGCTGGGATCGGGATCAGGGCTGGGATCAGGGATCGGGGCTGGGATCAGGGATCGGGGCTGGGATCGGGATCGGGGCTGGGATCGGGATCGGGGCTGGGATCGGGATCGGGATTTGGGCTGGGATCGGGATCGGGGCTGGGAGC